GGTGACACTGTTGACATTGCCTGGGTAGTTGCATAGATCCCCTGGAGACCTGCTGAGCTATGAGTAACGTCTGATTTTATTTACTTTTATTTTTTTTTCCTGAGATTTGATCGCAATATGCGCAGGAAGGGAAGCGTATCTGATTCTGTCTTTGCTGTGTCTGCCACCTCCGCCTTACAAGTCTTTCCACGCTCACACGTCCCCGTCTGCCTTCCTTGATCTAAAATAAAACTCTCTTAACAGGCAACCTCAGTCTATGAAAACATAAAGCTCTGGGAATACTCCACTTGAGGTTTTATTCAGATGTTAAAAAAAGGAAGGTCAGACCATGGCATCTGAAATACCTCAGAGCAGAGGCAATCTGGAAATTCAGTTTGCAGCTCCTTAAATATGTGGTCTCCTGGCCTGCCTAGTGTATGTGGGACCTGTCAGGGCATTTCTGGAGAGATATCTTTATTTTAGTGGGAGACATCAAAATACAAATTACTTGATGATCATATAATAGCACTTGGTAGTTCCAGAAGAGTGAAAAATGAGACACTTTACTCAGAAATAATGACCCTTTTATAGAGGCCGAATCAAGGTTGTGACAGATGAGCAGGGTCCTGTGCATTAGTTTGTTCTGACAGATCCAAGTCAGAGAGTGTGGCCATCTGATCTTAGGTTAAAACACGCAAAATTGCTTTGTACTCCATTTTAATGAACTTGTAAAAATAAGTCAAAATAAGTCAAAAATAAAGCTGGGCAAATTATTTTCAACGGATTTTCTTATAATTAAAAATATAGCACTTTGATTTGATTAAAGCAGCGGGACTTGGGTCTAGTTTGAAAAACGGCTTCTACCCGATGAAAGAAGGGGAGCAAGTAGAAAAGTTTAATTAAGGCTTTTGCAGGGAAAATATTTTGACTATTTATTATAAAGCTATATTCTTAATGGCTTCAAATTAAAATTATTATTAGAATTCTCTAAAATAAAACAAAAATGAAACTTTAAAAAATATTAGATCAACTTCCCCACCACCACCACCACCCGAAATGTGCATCTGTGTGAGCTTTTGGGGTAAAAGAAAAAAAAATGGACTTCAAGAGGAAAGTTGTTGTCTTCCAACCCAGTCATCTTATTTAAAAAATAGGTCAATTATTCGTGTAGACTAGCCTCAGATTTGCTCTTTATTTTCATTAAGGAGCATTTCTCACATCTAGTGGCCAATGGACAACCAGAGAGTTTGAAACAAAGTCTAGCCGAGCCCTGCTTTAGATATAGATGGTCCAGTTGGATGGCCAACCTATGAAACCTAAGCAGCATCTGAGATGCAGCCAGTGCTCCAAATACAGGTATTATGGCCTTAATTCAGATGGCTGTGCTAAGGGTTGCATCCAAGGCCACAAAAGTGCTGACCTTGACCATCTCCAGCCTTTCTTGGTGCTCATGGAAGGGGGTGATGGTCTCACAGGACTGGATCACTGGGCTGTGTTGTCTTGGCTTTACTGCTGGTTTTATTGCTTGTGACACCCTCAAAAAGTTGGACGTGGCTCTTGATCACTTGGATAGGGAGAAGACCTGGCACTTTTGAGGGCATGACTTGTCTCCTTGCAGACAGCTGAGCCCTGATGCATCCTTTCCAGGAATTTTATAGTGGGAGCAGTGAAACTTATGTTTCTCACGGCCCAACCTTTGGATGACTCCTATTTTTTTGTCTCCAAACATAGCTCAGCAAAAATCAGACACTCATCTATTTGTTTATTTTTTCATAGCTTGTTATGTTTTTAAATGTTTGAACCCACTTTTGACTTAGTGGTTGAACAACAAAACAACACCTAACAAAAGAAGACCCTTTTTTTTTTGGCTTTGCTTCTGGTACATTCTTGTCCAAATGTGTAACATATTCTCCCCCTTGAATTTTATCTCCTGCTGTGAGGTAGAGTACTTGCTAGTGAAGCTGTAAAGGTGTCCTCACGATGTGCATGGATAGAAAATCCTGGAGAAATTTGACTGGGAATCTCGTGTATCTGGAAACCTTGAAAAAACACTAGACTCATGCTCCCTAACTTACAGTTGCTGATACTGCTTCACACAGATCTCCAGAAAGACCCTTTGCATCCCCCAGTGACTCTCCAGGCAGAGGTGAAGCCACTGGGCACAGTGAGAGGCCAGATGCAGAAGTCAATACAGACATCATTTTATAATTAAAAAAATTGTGCGTTTTGACAAACAGCAGTTGTGAATCTCCCCATACCACCTAGTGTAGAAAATGCAGGTCTGGAATGCAGACATATGGTATTTCTAACAGCGCATATAACAATTTCATAATGCTGTGCTTGTACTAACCTCCTGCATTCAGGTACCTAAAGGCAGCCCCCATGTTTGACCCTAGCTGCTCTTAGAGGGAAACAGTCCTCTTCTTCCAAGACATTATCTTCATAGAAAGGTTGTCATTGCTGCGTTTTGTTTGCAAATGCCTCTGAAAATCAGCATGTGGGGCAGGAAACATTTTTTTTTATTAAAAAAAGTAAACAAGAATTTTAATGATCTTTTCTTCTTCTTTTTTTTTTTCCCCCTTTAAAATGTCCATGGGAAAATAAGGCTACTTCTCAACTAGTAAACTAAACAGCATCGTGGCCAGTTCTCAGCTTTGTCTGACAGTCTGGCCACATCCCTATTAAGCTTTTTAGGTGCCTGAGCAGTGCAAGTTTCCCTGTTGGAGCACCACACTGCTTAACTTACGAGTATAGACAGAGCTCCAGGGGCCTTTCTTAGCAGAAAGAAATGGCACTTTTCACAGAAATGCACAGACACCTCAAACTCACCAAAACAGTGGCCTGCTCCGAGCACAAATTCCCAGTGCAGAAAAGGGTGGACAAGACTCCCAGGATGGGGATGGAGGAGCCTGTGTTCGGAGAGGAAACTAAAGAAACCCAGGATTCTTAACTTAGCAAAAGGAGGTTGACTGTTTTCTATGAAAGGCAATGGGGAGAAAAAAAAGCACCAGGAAGAGGGGAGACCTGTTGCAATGAAACTGGAAAAAAATATTGAATATAGTTGTAAATTGAGTGAGAATGGAAACTGGAGGCAGGTTTGTGACCGCAGGAGCTTAAAGAGCTCTCAGGTGCCACTGGGGAAGGAGCCCCAGTGAGCTTTAAGACAGAGAGGGAGGAACCACCAAGGGGTTGCACAGCATGGAGATAGAGGACTGAACCTGATTCAGAGGCCACCAGCAGTCCCATGAGGTTATGAACCCCTTTGCAAGGTGCCTTGTCCCTCCCATGGAGACCCACAAAGTTAAAGCACCAGCTGAGAGCAGACACATCCAAGCCTTCCCATCACAGGGCTGCACCAGGCTGTGCCTTTGCATTTCCACATCTGCATGTCTCATGGGGCCAGTGCTCTGCATTGGCATGAGCCACGCAAACCCAAAGCCTTGAGCTCTTGTTGCATCCTCATTCTCCCCTCATCAGTGGCAGAATCACATTGACTTCCAGTTCGCATGCGGGTTGGAAGCAGCAACGTGGGCTCCCCGTTCTCGCTGTCCCTCCCTAGAGAGGCTTCCTGCAGGCTCACGTGCACACATACAAAAGCACATACACATACACACACACACACAGCTTACAGACACAGACAGACGCACGTCAGCGCGGCCACGCAGAGCTCGGCTCAGCGCGCGCTTGGTTCCCTTGGTAGCTGTGTAGACATGGTTGCATCTGCTCGGTTTGGGTTGCATCTGTCCTCTCCAGCATGCTGCTTTGGCTTGGTGGGCTGAAGGACTCCACTGCTCTAACACGGTCAGGAAAGGTGTGGAACCAGGAGGGAGAGCCTGGAGACAACCATGAATGGCCTGTCTCAGGTACCAGGTGCCTCGAGTTTACCCTGGCTAGACTGGATGTCCCCATCCTTGCTCATCTAGACTGTGGTTATCTCTGCCCTCCATGCCACGCAAAGCTCCTTGCACTGAAAGGCAAGAAAATATAACATCTTAAACTGTCTTGTATTCTGCCAAACAGGCAGGGAATCCTATGTGTTTGCTGCAGGTCCAAAACGTATTGGTGGCAACTCATTAAAGCAAAATTTCTTCTTTTAATTTTATAGCCACGCTTTACTAAACAAAAGTCCTTTTCCTCCTTTTGAAGTTCCCTGCTTTGGTGGAAGTGTGTTGCTACAGAGGATCCAGGACTTGCTGGTGGTACTGGAGGAAATGTCAGTCTGGGATGATTTCTCTGTTATGGGATGTCATGGTAGGATAAATTTTCTTCTTTGCGTTACTGCTTATGGGGGTAACCACACACCACTATACTGACAATGAGATCTGGAACATTTGTGGCTCCCAGTATAACTTTTAGGGCACACAGATGACCTGTGGCCAACTGGAATTCCGATATAAATGTGTCCATGATGTGTCCATAATCCGTACCATGAGCAAACTTAATCTAGTGTATATTGGACTCAACAGAGCACGCAAACAGCTCAACTTCTCAACACTTTTTGGGTTGCATCCAATTCAGTTCCCTCTCCTTCACCTGCCAAGAGGGCTCTTTTCCTCTGGTAATCAGCTTCGCCCTGAAATAACCAAATGGACGTTATGCCTGGAACAGCCAAGATTGAGGGTCAGCTTTCTGAGGGTGACTTTCTGGAAAGATGGCCTGAGCCTGCAAGAAGGTAAAGGGGAAGAGAAGAGGGATTTTTCACTGTTTTGTGGCTTGCCCTTGAATCTCCCCTTAGGTTTCTGCGTACAACCAACCATACTGGAGCTGTGTCAGCCTCTCAACTCTTGCAGGGGGCGGAGGAGAAGGGACTTCTCAATGGAGCTGGATAAGTGCACGTGATGGGTTCACATGTTCTCCATGGTTCCTGCAGGTCTTGTCTTCTCTACAGGCATCTTTGGCCCATCTCAATGCCAAGCTCTGCTTCTCTGCCCCATCACCAAGACCAGCTATGGGTTCCCTGTTTGCTCCTGTTACCTCTGCTTCTCTGAGGCCTTTTTGCAGCTAGCTGTCAGGTGGAGAGCCCTTGTGCTGCCCCGTCTTCTCCCTCTCCCCTATCCTTCCCTCTTCAGTCCCCGCTTCAGCACAGTGAGAACCGGCGGGAGTTGATGTTCATCTTGGTGACCCCGATGAGCTTGAGCGGCGTGGAGAGGCTGAAGGAGCTCATGAGCGGGAAGTCGCAGAAGAGGTCGGAGAGCTCGTCTCTCTCCTCCAGCTCGTATGTAGCATCATTGAGCATGCGCTGGTGCAAGTGGCAGGTCTGCTCAATTTTCAGCTTGTTGATGTCGCTCCGAAGACGCATGAGCTGCCTTGCCAGCTGCTGGTCCTGCAGGCGCATTTCTGCCTGAAACACAAAGCAGGGAGGGGGAAGGAAGGGGTATTAGCAAGGGCACATCAGCTTTTGCTCCCATGCTGCACCCAGCTAGAGTAGAGACTGCACCAAAATCATGGTAAAGCTCAGCTAGAGGTTCCACCCTTTACAGAGAACTGGAAGGGCAGATGGGGTGGAAAGGAGGTGTCTTCCAAGCCAGCAATGCACCCTGGCAAACCAGTGCTTGGGATGGTGATTTTTTACAATTCAGGTAGTCTGTGCTTAGTCAGAGTTCCAGGAGCACTACTACTTGTTTTTACCTCTCTGCTATGAAACTGGAATTAAAGCCAGCCATGCCAAAGTGTTGGCTTGGGGTATCAGTCAGCACAGGCTTCAGGGCTGTGTCTCAGAGCAATCCTAAACAAGTCTAAATTAATTTTGCTCATAAGGGAGCAGCCGCAATGAGAAGTGGCAATTAGAGGTGGAAAGCAGCAACTAAGAGAGCTCCAGAGACCCAATCTCCAAGTACTCAGGCCAGGTTTCCAGCCTGCATAAATCAGTGCAGCTCTGCAGGGTTGTGCTGGTTCATGACAGCTGGGAACGTGTCCCTCCACATTCCCCATGGCTTGTCTTGGTGTTTGGAAGCGGCTCTCAGGATAGGCCTCCATGGTTTCCCAACGGAGACACACTGACTATCCTGTGGGCTAATGAGCCAAGCTTTTCTGAGAGGGTTTGTCCTCTCTTGGCACTTAACTTTGGAAGGTGGAAGACTCAGGCATGATGAAAGGAAACAGCTCTTTTCATTCTTTTTTTATTCAAACCTATAATTAAGTGGAAAAATTGTTGCCGCAGGATATTGGGGGTAGCAAGGAGGGAGGTGAGCACTTAGTGAGATTCACAGCAAGGTTCAGCTTTTATCCGGATAAAAGTAGTAGGCAGTAGAGTTAGAATAGCAAATACCAAGAACACGATTCCCACTCCCTCACCTCACTGTTTTTTTTAATCCTTTTTTTTTTTTAAAAAAAAGCAAGAAACCACAAAAGCCACAAAGAAAAGAGAGTGGTAGGAAATAAATCAAACAGCTCTTAGCAAATTCTGTGGCTTAAACCTCTCTGTAACTACTGGAAACCAGGGGAAGCAAAACTGGGTGGAAAATAGTCCTCTGTCCACCCCAGTGTGGTGTCCTGTCTTCATCACAGGACACAAACCACGGTGAGAAAGGAGCCACTCGTTACCACAGCTCCTGGTTTTGATCCCCAGGGAATTGCAGCTCTTCTGCCCCAGCACTGCCAGAATAATATAATATAATGTTAATAACTCAAGCTGATTTCTTCTCACTCCTGGTGCTGTAGCTAGGCAGGCAGCATGGATGAACGTGCCTGAGCGCTCTGTGCCAGTAATTGGGCTCCACCTCGGTTGCCTGGAGAGGATTAAGCCGCTTTTGTGCAAAATTCAGACCCTCATTGTTGGCAGGTTTGAGGCCATATACCTTCCTTGAGAAACCACTATCGCCTTGCAGGCCTCATAACCCATGCCCCCGGCACAGCAATGCTACTCTGCAGGTTTTTCTCCTCCCACATGATTTGCAATGAAAAAAAAAAAACCATGGTGACTTTTTCTCCTGTTTCACAGAATGCTGCAATGTGACATTTTATCAGGAAAGTGATCGCAGCCGCTATTAAACTGGCCCTCGGGCACTCCTTGTCAGTATATCAAGCTATGGAAATGTCAATAAATGTTTTTATGAAAGGTTTTTTTTGAGGAATGTGGGATAAAAAAGGACTTAAAAATGAAACAGGATGCCATTATGGAGAGAAAAGCGACTTGGAGATTTCTATTTTTTTCTCTGCAAGCTCTTCAATTCTTGACCTCTTCTTGCTCCCTGTGTGTTTCTAGGAAACCGTTTTGCTCTTGTGCAAGCCCGAAAGCAAAGATGTCTGTGGCGTGGCAGCGGATTCATCGTGGTACCCTGATGTGCTCACACCTCCCATCACCCTGCAGCCGACCTGATCTGACCTGGTGCTCCTCGAGTTTGCAAAAGCAGCTTCTTCTCGCTCAGCTGGCCTCTCCATGAGACGGACACAGCGCTGCATTGTCTGCTGAGATGCAGGGGCAACATCACCCTCGGGGCCCATCTGCACTCATCAAAAGAGACCGTTTCCTTAGACACGGCTCTCGCTGGCTGTGCCAAGGCATGTCATGTTCTGGGGCTGAATGGGGAAGGAAGGAGGATGTGTCAGACGGATGCCATGCATGGACTGGCACAGGCAGCACTTTCCCAGAGAGATCGAGTCCTCTTCTTGCCTCTGTGAGGGCTGGGACTGGGATATTGCCCTTCGGATGGTCCCCGTGAAGGGGAGCTGCCTCTCTTTGTCAGAGGAAAGAGAATGGGAGAGGCACAAAGGCGGGTGATGGATGACGGAAGGATTATGCACACAGTGAGGACATGGCATGGGAGATGATGGCTGTCACCGCCCGGACCCTTTGGGAGTCCCCTCAGCTTCTTACTTGCTCGGAAGTGCCTTGTGTGGTGACAGCTCCCGGGGTGGGGACACATCCATGGGAGCATTAACGCTGGGAACAGCCTCTTGCTGCTCCCGCTCATGACCAAGGCTTGGCTCGAGATGCAAAAACTCTGCAATCCCTCCACAGACTTGTTCTTTCCAAACCTCACAGTGTGGTGGGGTTGTGGCTAAGCCACTCTCTGGTCCAGCTCTCCCCTGGAGAGGGATGTGCACCTGCCTGGAGGTTCTGACCCTCTGCCAATCAGACCACCAGCTTTGCTGGATGATCCCAAATTCCTTTTGCTTTGGAGTCATGCTCTCACATGCTGCAGGCCTGTTGGGACTCTGCAGCTCTGATTTACGAGGGTGGGAAGGTCTGCTGTGGCCATGTGGCTATGCTGGATGGGATGTACAAGCCACTTTTTGTCTGAGAAGGTGACACTGGATGTTGCCAAGAGTAGGCAATCCGGGAGAAAATGATGTTATGTGTTCAAAAACACCCAGAATAACAGCAGAACTGGGGTCAGGACCCAGAAGTCTTCATTCTCCTCCTTCCTTTTCCCAGACACTCTTCAAGAACATTAGAAACATATAAGCCATCAGGGCCAAGGATCAGACCATTGCTATGAATGATTAATGATCCCTTTTTAAAGTGAACACTGTTGGGTCAGCAGAGATCCACAAAGCTTCTTGGAAAGAAATAATAGGATTACAGTGTCCACATCACGGGAAGTTGTGGGTCCAATGCAGAAACATTTTTAAGTGTGTTTTGTTCACACAGACAAACTACCCCTTGGCTTTCTATATTCCAGCCTCGCTTCCACAGGCAAAGCTGCATGGCTGGAGCACTCATGGGATTCATGAGCTGGTGGTTTGAACTGCCCTTGGTGGCAGGGACAACCTAACCCAGGCCTCCCCGCTTCCTGGCAGAGTTGGTTCTGCAACCACCAGACCAAACCTGGACCACAACATCCTGACTGAGCAAATCTTATGAACTCAGGAAGGTTTTTCCTGTTTGGACTCATCATCTCCCAGGGAGGTCTAAGAGAGAAGAAGAGAAAATTTTGGGAGCATCCTTGCCTTTTGTGCAGTCTAGGTGGCTTAAGCCCAAATATATGTATCCCAGGATGTAGCCCGGACTTGTCTCCAGGATTTTCTTACCCGTGCACTATCTGTATGGTCATAGATTGGAATGTCTGAAAGTTCTCATTGCCATTGCTCTATCATTTCCCCTGTGCATTGCTGTGTGGGGGACAGCAGAGAACACCCCAGGTAGCAAGAAGGTGTGGAGTTCTTCTGGACCTCTTCCCAAAGGAAAAGTGGCCCATGGGCACAGACCCAACATGAGGTCCGCGAAGCACAGGATGATGGCATGGGGAGAAATGGCTTCTCCCAGGGGGCTCATCCTTTCCATTTCCAAACATAAACAAGCCTAAAGCAAAACAGGTGCTTTCCAACTGAAAGCAGACACCTTTGCTGGCTGCCTTATTAGGATACAAAAAAAAACCCCTTGCTGGATCTGTTGGAAAGATTCCCAAGGACTTCATTAACACTCGGGTCTAGTTCTTAATCAGTCTGGTCAACTATGCACTCTGGTCAGGCCTTTCTAATTGACTGACCAACTGGACAGAGATGTTTACTGATTTCCTTGGAGAGCACTTCAGACATTTGGGTCTCTTTTAAAGAGTCTGTCCTACACACTGGCTCGTATTCTGATTTCAGTGCAAAAAACCAGTGAATTCAGGAAGGAGAAAATATTTTCCTCCTGGACTAAAGTCAAAATTGTCCTAAGACATACAAATTGGCACTGGGATTCTGTTCTTTAACCCCTTCTATTCATTCAGGAAGAGGACTTTGAGGGCCCATTTTTAGAGCTGAATTGTCCCGACAAAGTTCAAAAACACAGCCTGGCCATTCTGATCCTTGGGTCTTTCACCACCTTTACTTTCTGTGGTGTTCCAGAAATCTTGCAGAAGGACTGCTCCTCCAAGGTGAGATCTGGATGTTCTTCTAGTCTGTGCAGAGCACACTTTGGAGGTTCTTGCATGCCCTGGCTGGTTTATGGCCTTATTTTCAGCAATGATGAACAGTGTCCACATCTGACCAAGTAAAGGCAAACAAGAGGGCAAAGAAAAGACAGAAAGTGTTAGCAAAGGAAGTTTTGCTAACACTTCTGAGAGAGCTGCAAAAAAAAATCAAGAGCAGGAATTTGCCTGTCTGAATAAATAGGCTTTTCAAGGCCAGGTTCTCAGCAGGTCCCATCTGATGCCTCTGGCTGGAGCTCAGCAGACATATGTCAATCCTATAAACTGGGGCCAGGCCTTAATGGGCAAGACACAGAATCAGGCTCTGCGAAAGGTCTTGCATGGAGAAAGATCAAGAACAGCAGATGCACAGTAAGACCTTGGGTTTGTCCTTATCTTCACTTCAGGGCATGGGGAGCTAGCACCTGGTCTTCTCTGGAGATGCTGAAGCAAATCCTTTGCAGCACTGAATAACCCATTTTTTTGCAGACTGGGAGTAACAGCA